GAAAAAATATTCCTGACCACCCAAGACTAGACCCGGCCATTCAGAGTGATAATTATTATTACAATCAAAAGATATTTTGATTATCTTTTATTTGATAATCATATCAATATTTTTTATTCTTTACTCCCTCACCCACCTAGACCAAGTCCTACCCATCAAGAGTAAATGCTTTCAGTCAAAAGATATTTAAATTTGTTTTATTTGATACCCATACCCATATCTATATTTTATGATAAAAATATTCCTGACCCTTCAAGGGCCTAGACCCGCCCACTTAGAGAGACAATTATTATTAGAATCAAAGATATTTTAAACCTTTTATTTGGTGTCCATATCGTTATTTTGTGTTTACAGAAATATTCCAGACCCCCCATGACCTAAACCCGCCCACTTAGAGTGATTATTATTATTACAATCAAATGATTTTAATTATCTTTTATTTGATACCCATATCAAAAAAATTATTTTTAACCACCCCCCCCCACACACATTAGGCCAAGTCCTACACATCAAAACCAATAAGAATACTTTTAGTCAAAAGATATTTAAATTAACTTTTATTTGGTACCAATATCGATATTTTATGTTGAAAAATATTCCTGACCCTTCAAGACCTAGACCCTCCCGCTATGAGTGATTATTATTATTACATTAAAAAAATATTTTAATTACATTTTATTTGATACCCATAACAACATTTTTATTTTTTACCACATCTTCCCCCAACCCCTAGACCAAGTCCTACCCATCAAGACATATAATGAATACTTTCAGTCAAAAGATATTTAAATTAGCTATTATTTGATACTATATGGATATTTTATGTTGAAAAATATTCCTGACCCCTCCAGGTCCTAGACCCGCTAACTTTGAGTGATTATTATTATTACAATAAAAAAATATTTTAATTACCTTTTATTTGATACCCATATCAATATCAATTATTTTTTACCACCCCCTCCCCCCACCCCCAAGACAGTTCTACCTAGTGATCTGCATCGGGCCTAATTTTTCAAGCCCGGCCCGGCTCGAAATTTTTTAAAAATGTTTTGCCAGCCCGGCCCGAACCCGAAAATTTTTCAAAAAGTTTTGACAGCCCGGCCAGAAATTTATTTTAAAAAAGACCCGAATTTATTTAAATATAGAAATTAATTTTTATAATTACTTAAAATAGAAGACATATGTTATATAGCGATTAGTTTCAATAAATTAAATAAAAAAAATTATTTTACATAAAAAATTCAATATAAAATTGATAAATTTAAATATATTTAATAAAATTTCCAAGGTAGACCCGACCCGGCCCGAAATTTTTTTAAAAATATTAGGCCCGGCCCGGCCCGAACCCGATTATTTTAAAGGGCTTCGGGCCGGGCCTAACTTTGCAGATCTCTAGTTCTACCCATCAAAACCAATATTAAATGCTTTCAGTCAAAATATATTTAAATTAGTTTTTATAATACCCATATATCGATATTTTGTTTTGATAAAAATATCTGACCCCCAGGCTTAGACTCGCCCATTAATGAGGAAATGTTGACCTCTAGAATAGATCTTTTGATCAACTATCGGTTGATGCTCTATATTCGACATATCTACTTTCATAAGCCCCCAAAAAAACTTTGAAAATAAATAAATGTAATGTATTTAAATAAATTTATTTTTTTATATTGGCTTAAAGCGACAATTTATTTACAATATATAAAAATTGAAAAACATATATATTTATATCTGAGAATATTAAATTGATAGTTCTTAATAAATTATTTTGATACATTTCATTTCAATAAATAACAATAAAATTTTAAAAAAAATAAAGCAAAACGCGCGTAAAACGCGTTTTAAATTAAGATTCTTCTTTATCATGGTTCAAACGTGATAATACCGTATAGTTCTTTATCCTTTAAAAAATTGAATTCTTAAAGGGATCCCTTTAAACCCCGTGATGATCCCGGATAGTTCTGATCCCTTTAAAAATTACGATATGTACACTAATAAAAATTTATGTTGTTAAACGCCTCTATTTGAGATTTTTAAAAACGGCTAACTCAATTTTTTATTCAGAAAAATATTATGCAAGCCTAAAGATTTTGCTTATAGTTGACACAAAGGTTTGGACATATTTTTCTGGTTATAATATTAAGTTAGCCATATTTAAAAATCGGCTCAAATCGAGCCGTTTAACAACACTAATAAAAATGTAAAATTTTACTTTTCACATCGGCACATAGAATATGGTCATCTTTATATAAGCTCAAAAATTCTAAAATACACTATATTTAATTTTAAATATATTAAAAGGTAATTAAGGTAAAAACATCATTTAAATTATGTTAAATAGCCCTTAAATATGATATAAAATTTACTTTATTGAAAATAAGTTTATCATCAAAACCTGGAAATGGCTATAAAATAATTATTGCTCTTTTTTTTCAATTTTTTTTTACAGATAGACATTATACTTCTTAATATTTGTGCAAATTCCTAGACTGGGCCAAGAGTTATTACATAAGTAGTATGGCTTAAATCCTATATTATACCAAATATATAATAATATATTCTTAAAAAATGAGCAATATAGTGAATACCGATTATTTTACGTTTTTATTTGCCAAATTCTTGCAAAAATTAAAAAATATATTAATTTAAATGTAATGATATATTTAAAAATTTAGGTAGGGCCCGAAACTCCTAGAAACATTAAGCCCAACCCAGTAAGCGAAATTATATAAAAAATAGACCCGGACGGGGTGATGTTTTACAGATCTTTAAAAGACACCTTTTTATGCTACCCTGTCCTTGCTGATTAGCAAAGTTGTTAAGATACCGTTAAAAAGAATCCAGTACATTGTCTAAAAGTGGATTTAAATATAGATACAACTAGTTATGCAAAATATTCTTTTTAGCTGATTTTTAAAAATGTTTAACTATAATGAGCCAAAAATATTACCTAAGCCTCGAGATTTCGCGAATAAATGTCCAAACTTTATTTGCCATCTATGAGCAAAATCTTCAGACTTGCGTAATATTTTACTGGATAAAATACTGAGTTGGCCGTTTTTAAAATTATTAGATATATCTTTAAATAACATATCTAGATATAGATACATTTTAATGTATCTCAATATAGAAACTGAGCAAAAAATATTAAGCTGATATGATGTCTTATATACATATATTTAAAATCATGATTTTTAGATTTTAATAATTTATATACAAAATATATAAGGTTTTAATAAAACATTCTCAGATTTTTTTATCACATAAGAAAACGCGGGTTCTTATCCAAAAAATTAGCTAGGCGAGTCTTCCCAGATTCTTAATTTTATTTCTCAAAAAGCGAAAATAAAAATTATTTTTTAATTTAAGGTAATTATAAAATATTCGTCCTCGTTCATAACACGAGTTTAGGAAATTAGTTCACAACTCGAGTCAGTTTTCGGCTAAGTCGAAGTTGATTAACAGCACTAATAAATGCTTTACAGTAACACATATAGATTAACAGTACTAATAAATGCTTTACAGTCATCATATATACTATATACTAATTCTATCCTTACCAAATGTAAAAGTGTCCAAAAAATATATCAGTTTCAAAATCTTCAAGATCTAATTAGAGATACTTGATTGTAATATTTATTATTTTATATAATATATCTATAAGTATCCTGTTAATAATTTATTTGAGATTATTGTATTTCATAGGCTTATTAAATTATTATGATAATTATAATAGATGCATAAAATAAATATATCATTAAATATTATATATGATGTATATAATAGATGTAGCGGGAAAAAAGGAATTGAGATGTTAGCAAGAATGACCTTTTGTAGAACATGCATAAAAGGGGTACATAAGAATGATAAAATAGAAAATAGTGGTCTGGATATTGGCAATGGGTTAACCCTGGGAAAAGTGGATAAGTTTTGTTATTTGGGTGATATGCTAAACGCAGATGGCGGTGTAGATTCTGCCGTTGTTGTAAGGGTCAGACAAGCTTGGAAAAATTTAGAGAGATGTCGTCTATTCTAACAAATAAAAAAGTTCTCTGAAGTTAAAGGGGAAAGTTTACGTAAGCTATGTGATAGTTGTTTAGTTTATGTTGGCGAAATATGGGCAATGAAAGCGACTCACGAAGCCAAATTAGAAAGAACAGAGATGAGAATGATTAAATGGATGTGTGGGGTATATCTGAGAGAGGGAAAAACTAGCAAGGAATTGCGAGCAAGATTGGGTATAGAAATGATTGGAATGGTAATGCGACGAAATAGACTAAGATGGTTTGGGCATGTGGAACGTATGACAAATGACTGCGTAAAGAGATGCACAATGATGGAAGTAGGAGGATCGAGACCTAGAGGAAGGCCCAAGATGACGTGGACAAATGTGATGACGGTGGATATGAGAAGCATGAATCTTACAAATATTGATGCTCAGGACCTTCAAAAATGGAAAAGAAAAATCGGGGGGGGGGGGGAAATTGGCCTACCTGGGTAAACCTGGAAATCCCATAAAACGGAGAAGAATTACATACATAGATTAAAAATAGTTAATATCTAGAATTTTTTTATTTTTAATGTGATAATTTGAAATTTCGCTATTATATTTTAGTTCAAGAGTTTTATATTTTAAAATTTATATATTTTTTTTAATAAGTAAACAATTTTTCTATTCACTTAATAAAACTATTAATTATAAATATTGTGTTAAAAAATATGTTGTATTTATATATATTAAATAAAATATTAAATAAATTTTAAAAATAATTTATTCATAAGTATTGAAGGAACCGTGAACGCGTTCCTTTTTCTGAAGGTGAACGTTGAAAGTGAACGGGTTCGATTTTTTAAAAATATTTAGAGCACAAAAAAAATTAATATAAACTTTTTCCTCATATAAAGATATTATACGATCGTTATTGTTATTTGCTGGAATAGGAAATTTTAAAAACTATCTTGTTTACGCCCTTCTTATATCGTTTTAAATAATAATATACTTGGAATTTGCTATCTTGTCCACAATCTTAAGTATTTTCTTTCCTTTGTTTTCTGCTAATGGGGTAGGGTTATTGGTGGGCAAATTGGTAACAGGTATGTTTGAAAAATTTGTCAGGTGACCTTTAGGATTAGTGTCTCTACCGATGGAAATTCCTAAAGAAGCATTCCTTCAATACATAGATTTGGGTATTACCAAAAAATAAAAATAATATTTATTTCAGTCATTTTATTATAAATCGGCCAAATAGGACCATTTTTATAGACATGTTACTGGCATCTTCCATAGTTAAGTATGTTGTGAGGAATAGTGCAATTAAGTTGTTATTTATTAGTTTCGGAAATTTTAGGATGTGTAAAAATGGCGTTTTTACCTATCATTGCCAAACGTTAAAAAGATTACTCAAAAAATTATGATAGCGATTTTATTTAATATCATTAGATGTCACGTGAACTCCTTATTTAAAATAAATTTTTTATTCTCCAGTTATTTATTTTCTTAATATCGACGATGCAAATTTTCTGAAATGTTGAAACTAAATAAATTTATATTTTAAAAATAATAGATTGGGGTAAAAATGTATTTTTGAGAGATAAAAATAACCAATATGGATGGCGTTTTGCAAATAATTTAAATAAATCTCCTATATTTGAAAATAATATATGTCACATAAAACATATTTTAATGAACAAAATATAAAGTAAATCTTATTTGCATCTATTTTGTCTCAACGAAGAAAATATAATATTCTATATATCCAATCACACACCTTAAATGTTAGGAAATGTATGAATATCGTGTATCCAGGAATTTAGATCGAATCCGAAGACCCTGTTTATAAAATTTTCAAAACCCCGAACCAAACCCGGGAATTTTTCTGAACCAGGGTTCAACCAGGTTCAGTATATTGTTTAAAATCATATATTAAGATATTTGTATAATTGTAAATACAAATATTAACAATTTAACCCTCCAACTTTTTAATAATTAAATAAAAAAATTTCTATAAATTATTCATTTATACACTCCATAGATGCCCAAAATGATTTCCAAATTTTATTTTTAAATGCACAGGTTAAAAAAAAATGATGATGCAATTTTACATCATCAGGCATACTGTGGTCTGATTGGATTTAAAATACATTTTATGGTGAAATTTAATTATAAGTATAAAAAATCATTATAAATATAAAATAAATGTTTAAAAAAGGTATTCTAAAATCCCAATGACTTATTTTGGCATCATCCACTTTAAGTTGCTATAAAAAAGAGCATATTCATTTTTAATAAGATAACTATTCATAATATTATATATACTCTTATCTTTAATAATGAATAAAAAATTTTGAATTATTAAATAATATCCACAGAATTCGTTATATTGTTGTTATAAAATCATATAATTCAGTAAAATTGTAAAGATAAAATTATGAAAATATGCTTGGATGAAATTCAAAAATAAAAGATTAAGAGTCAATAATTTTAATAAAATACGTAAGTGTTTTTATTATATTTGTACCATATGATGTTAAGTTAAATCTATAGGCTTTTATAAATTTAAAATATATAATTATATTATATGATGACAAAACAAATCGTGAGAGGTTAAAGGGTTAATTAGATTTTATATATTTTCAAATTTCCAAAAGTTAAGTGTTAATAAATTTTACTGAATTCATTTATGCCATTTTAAAAATTTTTTAAATTTATCAAAGATTCCTATTGGAGTGTTAATAAATTTTAAACAATTAAATTCATTTATGCTATCTATTTTTAATTTTTTAATTATTCTCAAAGATTGTTAATTTAAAGAATTCTCAAAATCTAACTTATTTTGTAAAACTTATTAAAATCATGTTATAATTTATATATGCTAATCATTTATTTTTTGTTCAAATTAATTTTTACCATATATTAATGAAGTGCATATTATAAATGAAATTAAATTTATATATCTGATTTTTAATTCTATGAAATCATTGCTATTTAAGAAATTTATTCTCTTTAACTCTATTTGAAAATTTAATAAATGTTCCTCAATTCATCATTTATTATAAAGATTTAAGATCAAAGATAAAAGATAAAATCATATTTGAGAAGCATTTTACTCTTGATACAATAGAAAATAAATCAGTATGCTCATATTGCTAATTATGAATGTCTTTAGCGTTGAAAGATCTTTTTCACATTTGAATTGCATGGGCCATGTATTTGAAAATTTTTTTATTTTCAGGTCCCAAAATTTTATTTTCGATCATTTTATGGCCTGAACCCGAATTTTATAATTTTGGCTATTTTGTGAAAGGGAAATTTTGCAGAAGCCCGTCAAAGAATGACAGGTGAATCAGAAATTTGCATTTTATTTGGTGACGGGTGAATCAGAAATTTGCCCTATTTTTATTAGGTATGAATCAAATTGGGCATCTAGATAAGAGGTAATTAAGAAATTTTCAGTTTTTAGATAAAAAAATAAGTTAGTGAAATTAGGCGCAAATTATTTGTAACATATTATAAATCATATTATTTTAAAAAGTTAGAAAGAAAATTAAAAATAACCAAAAAATATGGTAAATTCTAAAAAATGATATTTTCGAATAGGCAAAAAAGAATATGTTTTTATAATAATCACCTAATACCGTTATGGATAGATTCTTCATCTTCTGAGGATTCGGGGGTATCCTCTGAGTCGGAACCTTTACTTGTCCAAGTTCTGTGTATTTAAAATATTTTTAAGTTATCATTACATTTTTTTCATTTTCGCTCTTTCATTATTTATTCGACTCTTTGCTTGCCTTTCTCCCTTCATAAAATTTTGACTATTATATTATTAAATACTTAAAAATTAATATATAATATTCAAAACCTTCGCTTTTTCGGTAATCGTGAGGGGTCCGGTGCGATTTGAGAAATTTCTGAATTTTCGACTAAAGACTATAAAAATAATATTTTAAATTGGCGTAAAACAAAATAATTTCTGAATAATAAAAGTAAATATATATTTTTCAACATCGAAATGTGTCCCAATGAAATACCCAGAGCTTCGAATCGAGCCTGAACCCAGAACCGGGCTCAAAGGGCATTTTTTGTCAACCCGAACGTAAACTCGTTTTGGGTTCATGCTAATTTTCAGAGTTGTTAAAGGATCTAGATATAAAAATGTGGTATCTGTATCTCTATCTAGATAGATTTTTGATTAAATAATCTGTATCTAGATATTATTTTAGACGTTGTATCTGTATCTAGATCCATGTAGAAAGTATCTTTTAACAACTCTGCTAATTTTTTATCAATTTAAATTCCGTTTAATTTAAATTTATCAAACATTAAAAATTTACACAAAAATTAATTATAAAAATAGAATTTAAAATTAAAAAAATTATATTATTTATATATTCATATCACTTAATCCCAATCAAGTGGTAGACTTTTCAGTTTGCCAAGACTCAAATTTAGAATCTTTGAAAAAAATTTTTTTAACTATTTTCTTCAATTGTATTCTGAAAATTTATGATTGATGGAACTGGAGCCTTCCCTAGTGATTTATCGAATTATGAATATTATAAAAAAGATAATCAATGTTATATGAAATTTTAATGTATTTTGTTTTGTTTTTATCACTTTATTAAAATTTGAAAATTATGATGAACATTTTTTTGATCTTTTGGTACCCGAATCGAAACTTATTTTTACCAGACCCAGCTTGAACCAAAACGGGTTCATGATTTTAAACCCTAGCAGAACCTGCGAAAAATATTTGCGGGACCCAATTATCTTGATATAAATATATGATATTTAGATACTATGCAGCAAGTTACCTAAAGTTTAGAATACATATGATTGTATTGATATTTTACCTTTTAAGGTTTTGAAGATAGTAACCTATCAATGTTTAGGTTAGAGCTCCGCAATGGGCAAGGTTTTCGCCCGTTCGCAAACGCCCGTACTTCGGGCGGGTGTGGTCGGGTTTTTTAAAATATTTACAATATGGCGGGTCAAAAAATTTTATAGTAATGGGGGGGGGGAAGGTAGAGCGGGTAAATTTGTTATATTTTTCAGGCGAAATGCGTAGAACAGACTTCGATTTAATTAATAATAATAGTTTTGTATCATATTGCATATTAAATAAATTAAAAATACATTAAAACAAATAAAGAGCCAAACCAGGCACTAAATTTTTAAACAATAGGTGGGCGGGCGGGTTGAAATAAATTTCAAACAACAATTGGGTGGGTTTTTTAACTAAAAACCCGCCCATTGTAGACCTCTAGTTTTAGTCAACTGCAGGCCATCTCAAATTCTTTCAAATTTTTTAATAACATAATTTGGAGACCTTGCACGAATTGCTGCAAATCTATCAGCTCCTATTATATATTCAATCAAATAATACAAAAAAACGGATGACAATAGAATATAAATAATATGTGATTAAAATAAAAAATAACTTTCTTGAATTCGTCAATAATGTCAATCACAAACTGATAGATACAACAATTAGGATTAAAAAAAATTCTTTTAAGAATTTATAAAAGAACCTTTAAACTTAGTGATTTCAAGTGGAAATTAATTAGCAAAATTGGTGAACTTGGCTTCATTCCCCTTTCATTAGTTTCCCGGGCACATGAGCATATAGAGTAACGACTTTTTCCTCCAACAGATCCTCTTTGTGCCTTTGCTTAAGACGAATGGAAAACGGAGGGGGGTCATTTATCGTGACCCCTCTCGTTAATGAACAAAATGCTTTTAGAGCTTTTGAATAATGTATTAAGTTATAAAATTTTAGAGATTGCCAAGCTGAATTGGTATTATTTAGGTTGTAATTTCTAAAATATCCATTTTGGTCTGTTATTAAATTTGTCCTATTCATTGCGAAACATTGAACATCAATATAAATAATCAATAAAGTTTTACAAAAAATGTTCTTATATATAAATCTGAAGTTTAACAAAAAAATGTTCTTTATATATCCATTGAAAAATAATAAATCATAAAAAAAATCAGTAGCAAAAAGAAACTAAAATGTTCTCTGTTTAAAATTGAATTTAACTTAAGTGATAAATAATAAAAAAATGCAAATTGTCAATTATAATATAAAACGATAATATAAACTAAAATAAATTTTTTTTGCCGTTAGGTATAAAATAAAATATTAAATCGATATATCTAACCAACCATCAGGAATCCAAACCGAACCGTTAAACCGCTAAAAACCGGTATTTTTTTATCAAAACTAAACCGAACCTAAACCGCTAAAATAATTTCTAGCCGAACCTGAACCGAACCGCTAAAATGTCTCTGAACCGGTTCAAGCCTCATAATTTTATGCCTATAAAATAATGTGTAAGTTATTTAGTATATTGCAAAAATTTTAATTATATTCGAACTGTTTTAAAGATTATTATCAATCACATTTGATTGATAAGTGTCAGTCATAATTTTTATAAACTTTAGTACATTACCATTTTACAGCATTTTTTAAATATTTTAAGCTTATAAATAATGCCTAGAGAAAATTAAATCCAATATATAAATTATTTATATATATTATTATAAATGACACATCAAAATGTAATATTACTGATTGTTAAATAAATATGAAAGGCCATCATAAATCTTGAGCCTAACAAAAAAAACCACCATCTAGAATTTGATAAAATTAACAAAATATCACAACAAAAGCCTAATAAAATAAAAAAAATTTAAGATGTCATCAAGCCAACAGACGATAGAAGAAGCATTAAAAGAACAAACAATATCAGTAAAACTGAATAAAAAATAATAATCGATGATTGTACTGAGTTGGTCACTTTTAATGGCAGACCATTCAAATTAATCGATGATAGCGGTTTTAAAAAAATTCTTAAACTATAGTAGAAGCCGTGGTAAAAATTAAAATTAATTCTCAAAATATTTAATCTAAAGTGTTTGGTAAAATATAATCAAAGAAATAAATATTATAGTTAATTAAAGAACCTAGGTTAAATAAAACTATGAATATTTTAAACTATTAGAGAAATCAGAGCAATCGATGCCCAGAATTATGTAAATTGTTTGATATCATACTGGCAGTGCCAGTTACTCAAGTTAGTGTTGAAAGATTTATTTTCAACAATTAAATTTATACTATCTCTTTATAGATGTAATTTGATTGAGACGAATCTTGAAAATATATTAATTGCAGCATAATAAAAAAATTTTAAGTAAATAAATTAAATATTGTTCATATTAAAATTAATCATTGATATTTATTTGTGTGATTTATAATTTAAATATTATTTATAATATGCAATTAATAAAAATGAAGGTATGTGTGTTTTTTATTATGATGAAATAAAATAAATATACCTCCCTATACATAATTCGAATGTAGATTTGAATACAAAAATGTTCAAACCGGTTTTTAGAGGTTCGAACCGAACCGATATTTGTTTCGGTTTGGATCCCTGCATTCCACCCTTTAAAGAAACCCCGCCTAAGTTCTCCTTGGGCATTAAAAAAAGATTTTATGTTCTTGATCTTGTGCGTAAGTTGCTAAAATCGTTGCTTAACGGTTTGCTTACTTGTTGTCAATTTTGTTTAACGTTAACGTTGTCATTGTTGTCATCCTTCTATAAAACGTATCCAATTTGTCCTCGTTCTCGTTATATATTATCATTGTTTGTTATCTTATATGCACGAAGATTTTAGTAAACGAATGATTTTAGAATGAATAGGAATGATTGAATTGTGTCGGAATAATTAAATTATACAAATTGTTTTACATGCATTTTAATTGTAGTCGCGTTTTATATTTTTCTTAACGTTTATTTAATATTTATTTGGCGCGTGTAAGTTATATCACCTTTTAGTAATTTTAATTTTATATGAGCTTAATCATATTTTAACAGTTTTACATTTGAATTTTGATAACGTTGAAATTTTATTTAATGTATATTGTTTATCATGTATTTTTCTAAGTATTTTACACACTGAGATCTTTTTAATGTCTCGCCAACAGACATGATAAGATCTCTGAACCTCTCAGGCTTGTTTAGTATTCTTTCCGGTCTCGGTGTTGGATTATCTGCTACCAGATGTCTAACATGTACATCTTCTAGTATTTTTTTTAAGGTTTTTTGAATAACTATTTTGTCTGATTTGAAAAGGCAATCTTTTAATACATTAGGTTCATTTTATATTATTTTATTTATCCTTTTTATATGAGTTCAATTTTTTATAACATCGCCTCTCCTTTTATTGACTTTGACTTCCGAATTACATTTATCACACGAATTATTATTTTTAATTTCTAGATGGAAATCATGCCTGCCATTTTCTCACATTTCAATGGTTGCACAGGTTTATCATTATAGTTATTATCATTATTCCCTACTAATTTCTTTAAGATACCATTAAACGGGTTAAGCGACACCCTACCAAGCAACGAGCCTTTCGTACTCTCCACAATGTAGACTTCCATATTTTTTAATGTGCCTTAATAGTCCATTAATTAGATGTGAGATTTCTTCTCGTTTTTGATGCCTATTTTATTAGCTACAAGATGGGGTATGATTGTATATCTTGTGCATGTATCTACTTGCATCGTCGTTGCTACGTTATTAAGTTTAAGTGTCACTTTGTATGCGTTATTCTCTTTTTCTTTAAGACCTTCATCCAAACTGTTAACACTTATGTTTAGCAAATCTTAATCTTTATTTATGTCGTCACTTTTGTCATTTTCCATTTCTTCAAAATTAATTGTGTTTATCTTACTACCATCTAATATATGATTCTTGTTGTTTTCATCATTAAATTTATAATAGTATTGTTGATTCATATTTTGTCTATATTGTGTGTTGTTTTGATTTCTATAGGTATTATAGTTTTTATTGCGTACATTGTTGCCTCTGTTGTTGAATCTTAGGTTCGATCTATTATGATAATTGTTTTGAATG